ATACCAAAGTCCAAGTAGTAGAATAAGAGTTTTTGGCCAACGAATTACATATATAAAAATTATATTAACAAATTTATCTTTAAAAAGTATCTTTAAACAAAATTTATTATTAAATTTATAAATTATATATTTATTTTCGGGCTTTCCGGGCCGGTCCGAACCCAATCGGGCTAAAGCCCAAAAACTCAATAGCCCGAATGGGTTGAGCCCGAAAGGCCCGATTTTTTCTGGGCTTTTATATTCAGGCCCGAACCCGGTATTTTTAAGGGCTGGGCCGGACCAGGCTTCGGGCTTTAACCCTAATTGACATGCCTAGCGACTCTTGACTCTCGATCCTCCTCCTCTCTTATCCCGGTGTCGAACCCACCTTCCTCTGAAGCTCTCTTGCTAAAAGAAAACCAAAAAACCATGTCTCGACTCTTGACTCTCCATTCTTCTCCGCTCTTATTCCCTGCGTCGATTCGTCGAGTCGTACCTTCCTCCGAAGCTCTTTTGCTAAATGGATTAGTCGTACCTTCCTCCGAAAGCCAAAACTAGGATTGAAAGAAAACGATGTAACCCCAAACTAAATAATTGCCTAAAACTAATAAGATTCCTCTATTTTGAAGATCCTTTTTAAACAAGCAAAATATAACTCTATTGTTTTCTTAAACATATTATTTTGGGAACAAAGCCATGTTAAAAATCATGTTATAATGGGATACATAAACATTGGTAATTATATAGTTATCGTCATAGAAAAGTTAATCCACTGTAGATAAACAGTATGTCCTTATTTTTTCAAAACTTAACTACTATAAAACCAAATAAGATCACATAAAATATTTAAAATATGTGACAAATGTTTTAGGTAAAAAACTTTAAAAAAGAAAACAAAAAATATTAACGACAAAACCCGCGCGTAAAACTAAAAACTAAATAGATTTTATTTTATGTGATACTATTGGCTGCTTGTGCGGACTAATAATTATTGAAGCTCTTGTGGACTGATAAAATTGCCGGCATACGTACTTGTAGCTGTGACGTTATAAATCAATAATCACAGGACAAGAAGTTTGGATTTAAGACTGACCCTTATCTGTATAATTGAATATAATTTCTTAATAATATGATTGGACTTGCATTACTTTCGCTAGTCTTTTTCACTATCAGTTCTAGTGAGTAGAAATTTCAAATTATTGTAGCTGTTGACACAATGTCGTTATCAAATTATTGTAGCTGTTGAAACGGTGTGTATCATTGTATAAATGTGTGGTGGTGGTATTTTATGGCTTCTATTTTTCTGTTTGTATTCTTGTTAAAAAGTTTGTGTTTGTTTTTAACGTTTGCATGTTTGTGTTTTTTTTTTATTTAATTGCGTTGGACATTTGTATTTCCATTCTTTCCAAATATATTTTACCCATATATACTTGAAAATGTTATATTGTGAACCGTTCTTTATGTTCTGTTTTTTTCAACGCAATTTGAAACGGTTGAATTCGATCAACATGTTGCATGTTTTTATTTTTGTTTCGTATATATATTCCAACTTTTACATTCTTTGACCAAAACCAAAACTTTATAGGGAAAATAGGATAAAAGCCAAAGATCCAAGTGGGCATGCATGCGACATTTGCCCATAAGACGATTACGTTTACTCTCTAAGTCAAAAGTCGTTAGATATGGAGGGTAATGGGTGTTTTAACGTTAACATATTCGACTTTGCTAACTTTAATTGACCGACATAAATACATATGCACATATCATGTTATATTTTGTTAGAGAAAATTATATATTTTATGGTCCCCTTTCTTTCTCCCCCAAGGTCACCTTTTAAAATCTCATATCTTTTTCATTAAGTGGGTGTATATACAATCAAATCTTAATTGTTGTATATAGAAGAGATAGATGTTCATTGTATTTATCTCAATTATCAGATGTTCTTGTAAATAATTGAATTTGAAACATGTTTTAAATTAGTTTTAAAAATTCTCGTTACTAATTTTCAAAAAAAAAAACAAATTGAAAAAATGTCGTTCCTGTTTTATCACATGAACATGGTGTCTGTATTTATATAAACTTCAAACGAATATTCAATTTTCGACTTAAAATATGACAAAGATATTTCATTAGAAAGGAAAATTCATCTCAGATATTTCATTAACTAGAAAGGAAAATTCATCTCAGATATATTGTCATGCACATTCCGTTGACCTTACAATTTGCATTGTTCCATTCCGAAATTCCTTTACTTGCCGGTTCGAGTTTGTTTGAATACATTGGATCGAACCAACGAGTTTACTGGCTGGACCCCAAAACCGATGTGCTACTGTGCAACTACACTCGAATTTAAAGGCGCATCTTAATTATTATAAATAAATAGTTGTTGTTAGGCAAAAGCAAGTATCCAAGAAGACC